CATTCATAGATTTGTGTGTGTTAGACCAGCTTAGCATCCCAGGGATGTAGCTGACTTGATCATGGTGGATAAGCTTTTTGATGGGCTAGTGGATTCAGTTTGCCAGTATATTATCAGGGATTTTAACATCAATGTTCCTCAGGGATGTTGGTTTGAAATTTTCTTTGTTGTTGTGTCTCTGGCAGGTTTTGGTATCAGGATGATGCTGGTGTCATAGAGTAAGTTAGGGAGGAGTCTTTTTTTGCGTTTTTTTAAATTATTTAAAAATTTTTTAACAAAATTTATTCCTTTTTTATTGCATTTTGTGTTTTGGGGTACATGTGAAGAACATGCAAGATTGTTGCATAGGTACACACGTGGCAGTGTGATTTGCTGCCTTCCTCCCCATCACCTACATCTGGGATCTCTCCCCTTGCTATCTCTCCCCAACTACCCACCCCCCGCTGTCCCTCCCCTATTTCCCCCCAACAGATCCAAGTGTGTAGTGCTCCCCTCCCTGTGTCCATGTGTTCTCATTGTTCAACACCCGTCTATGAGTGAGAACATGTGGTGTTTGATTTTCTGTTCTTGTGTCAGTTTGCTGAGAATGATGGTTTCCAGGTTCATCCATGTCCCTACAAAGGACACAAACTCAGCGTTTTTGATGGCTGCATAATATTCCATGGTGTATATGTGCCACATTTTCCCTGTCCAGTGTATCATCGATGGACATTTGGGTTGGTTCCAGGTCTTTGCTATTGCAAGCAGTGCTGCAATGAACATTCGTGTGCATGTGTACTTATAGTAGAACGATTTATAATTCTTTGGATATATATCCAGTAATGGGATTGCTGGGTCAAATGGAATTTCTATTTCTATGTCCTTGAGGAATCGCCACACTGTCTTCCACAATGGTTGAACTAATTTACACTCCCACAAACAGTGTAAAAGTGTTCCTATTTCTCCACATCCTCTCCAGCATCTGTTGTCTCCAGATATTTTAATGATCGCCATTCTAACTGGCATGAGATGGTATCTCAATGTTGTTTTGATTTGCATTTCTCTGATGACCAGTGATGATGAGCATTTTTTCATGTTTGTTGGTCTCATGTATGTCTTCTTTTGTAAAGTGTCTGTTCATATCCCTTGCCCACTTTTGAATGGGCTTGTTTGTTTTTTTCTTGTAAATCTGTTTTAGTTCTTTGTAAATTCTGGATATCAGCCCTTTGTCAGATGGGTAAACTGCAAAATTTTTTTCCCATTCTGTTGGTTGCTGATTCACTGTAATGACTGTTTCTTTTGCCATGCAGAAGCTGTGGAGTTTCATTAGGTCCCATTTGTCTATTTTGGCTTTCGTTGCCAATGCTTTTGGTGTTTTGGTCATGAAGTCCTTGCCTACGCCTATGTCTTGAATGGTTTTGCCTAGATTTTCTTCTAGGGTTTTTATGGTGTTAGGTCTTATGTTTAAGTCTTTAATCCATCTGGAGTTAATTTTAGTGTAAGGTGTCAGGAAGGGGTCCAGTTTCTGCTCTCTGCACATGGCTAGCCAGTTTTCACAACACCGCTTTATTAAACAGGGAATCCTTTCCCCATTGCTTGTTTTTGTCAGGTTTGTCAAAGATTGGATGCTGGTAGATGTGTTGTGTTGCCTCCAAGGCCTCTGTTCTGTTCCATTGGTCTATATCTCTGTTTTGGTACCAGTACCATGCTGTTTTGATTACTGTAGCCTTGTAGTATAGTTTGAAGTCTGGTAGTGTGATGCCTCCCACTTTGTTCTTTTTGCTTAAGATTGACTTGGCTATGCGGGCTCTCTTTTGGTTCCATATGAAATTTAAGGTGTTTTTTTCCAGTTCTGTGAAGAAGCTTATTGGTAGCTTGACGGGGATAGCGTTGAATCTGTAAATTACTTTGGGCAGTATGGTCATTTTCACGATATTGATTCTTCCTAACCATGAACATGGAATGTTTCTCCATCTGTTTCTGTTCTCTTTTATTTAGTTGAGCGGTGGTTTGTAGTTCTCCTTGAAGAGGTCCTTTACGTTCCTTGTTAGTTGTATTCCTAGGTATTTTTATTCTCTTTGTGGCAATTGTGAATGGCAGTTTGTTCTTGATTTGGATCTCTTTAAGTCTGTTATTGGTGTATAGGAATGCTTGTGATTTTTGCCCATTGATTTTGTATACTGGAGTCTCTTTTTTTTCTATTGTTTGGAATAGTTTCAGAAGGAATGGTACCAGCCTCTCTTTGTACCTCTGGTAGAATTTAGCTATAAACCTGTCTGGTCCTGGGCTTTTTTTTTTTGGTTTGTAGGCTATTAATTGCTGCCTCAACTTTAAACCTTGACATTGGTCTATTCAGGAATTTGGCTTCTTCCTGGTTTAGTCTGTGAGGGTGTAAGTGTCCAGGAATGTATCCATTTCTTCTTGATTTACTGGTTTATTTGCATCAAGGTGTTTGTAGTAATCTCTGATGGTAGTTTATATTACTGCGAGATCAGTGGTGATATCCCTTTTATCATTTTTTATTGCATCTATCTGATTCTTCCCTCTTTTTCTTGTATTAGTCTGGTTAGCAGTCTATTTCTTTTGTTGATCTTTTCAAAAACACCAGCTCCTGGATTTATTGATTTTTTGAAGGTTTATTTTTTCTTTTTTTTTTTTTTAATGTGTCTCTATCTCCTTCTGTTCTGCCCTGATCTGAGTTATATCTTGTTTTCTGCTAGCTTTTGAATTTGTTTGATCTTGTGCCTCTAGTTCTTTTTTTTTTTTTTAGTACTTTTATAATTCTGGGATACCTGTGCAGATTGTGTAGGTTTGTTACATAGGTATACACATGCTATAGGGGTTTGCTGCAACAATCCCCCTGTCATCTATGTTAGTTATTTCTCCTAATGTTATCCCCCACAATTCCCCCACCCCCTGCTATCCCTTCCCTAGCTCTCCCACTGCCCAGCAGGATCCAGTGCATGATGCTCCCCTCCCTGTGTCCATGTGTTCTAATTGTTCAACACCCCCTTATGAGTGAGTACATGTGGTGTTTGGTTTTCTGTTCTTGTGTCAGTTTGCTGAGAATGATGGTTTACAGCTTCATCCATGTCCCCGTAAAGGACATTAACTCATTCTTTTTCATACCTGTGTAGTATTCCACAGTGTATATGTGCCACATTTTTTAACAGTTTTTCTTTTTTTTTTGGTGTATGTTAATTTAATCATACAAATATTCATTTATACAATAAGGAAAAACCTCATCATCTTTATCTATTCCTAGGCACCATAAAGCCCCACCACAAACATCCACCCAGCTTGCTTTCTAGACACACCACTGTCCAGGTGGGAAGGGCAGCCACTGCTGCTCCTGCATTCACCCAAGGAAACAAAGGAAAAGTATGGCGAGGCAGGGTGGGGTGGGTAATCAGCTTGCACTTCTGAGCTCTGGCAACCCTACCATTCTCTCCTGCTGGGCTCAGATTGAATTTGGGGAGGTATTTATTCTCATGCCCTTTCCCACCATGACCACCCTCAGGCCACACCAGCTGTTTGGTGAGGTTGTCTCCAGGCTGGAAGTAACTTTGATGGACAGCCAGTCTTTATAGAGGAGAGAAGGCTGACTGCTTCTCGTAGAAAAATGCCCCCAATTCAACTGTCTCCATGGCAAAAAGAAAAAAGGCATGCACACGTGCACATTCATCCACACATACACACACACACACACACACACACACACACACACACACCTCACTCCATGCACACTGACAGATTCTTCCCAAGTCTGAACCCCTGTATCCCCAAATGGGTTCAGACCCTATCATCTAAGCACGGTGTCTGCCTCACCTCCTGGGTGCCAGTTACAGGAGGTCCTTCCCAGAGGTGGCCTGCAACTTGGTGAAGTTTCTAAGAGGAGCAGGGATTATTGGGGCTGAGAGGTAACCACTGCCATCCCACTAGGCAGGGGAGCAGAGAGGTGCTCTAGGCATTGCTCTGAACCCATACCAGTGGGGAGAGAGAGAACGAATGATACTGATACCCTCCCTTGGCTGGGGAAGCCATGGACCCCTCTGCCTGAACTCCAAGACTTGCACTTGCTCTGGCCTCTGCAAGGAGCTCATCTTGCCTCCAAGAAGGTGCACAGAAATGGTTTGTTCTTGAGAAGGGGGACAAGGTGCTTTGGACATTTAAATTGCCAAGTGAGGTTGCTTAGAAGCAAAAGGAAGAGCAGGATGACTCTGGCAGGCCCAGGTCCAGACCCACTGATGGGGGCCCATGAAGCCCCTGCTGGGAAACTGGGAAGGGTCACCCAGTGTGTTGGACAGATGAGGAAGTCAGGAAAGCAGGGATTGTAAAGAAAGCCTCTCACGAGCCTGCCAGGGACAGTGGAGATACGCTGCTTCAAGGCTACTAAGCAGTAAGAACAGCTGGGCATGCATGGGCTCCAGGGTGGCAGTGTCTCAGGAGACTGGTACCAGCAGCAGCAGTCTGGGCCTAATGAGGGCCTCAGACAAAAAGCCATCCTGAGGCATGCGGTGTGGGCACCTGGCAGAGACTTCACTCTGCCCTGCTAGGAAATGGAGCACTCCCATGTGCACAGAAGGTAGATGCTCCAAAGTAAGCTCTAGTGAGGTCCCAGACCCAGCTGCACCATGCTTCTCAGCAGGCTGGCTACACCCACCCCCAGGGCTTCTCCATTGGAATAAAGGTTATGCACCCTTTTATTTTGGGGGGGCAGGGGAGTTGAAGAGGGAATTTCACACAAGCTTTCCTGCCACAATCAAGTTTTTAAAAAACAACAGTCTCAAAAGAGGATGAGGAGGAACAAACAACACAGCGTTTTTGGAACTCAGGCACCTAGACAGAAACAGGCAAGCAGACCCTCACTCACACTCAAGCTATATGACTCCTTGCAGCCACTCATCACCTGGTCTCCCTGCCTGTCTCATACCCCATCCACCACCCAGATGGATAGGGATGTAGTAACAGGCAGGTGACCCTGCAACAGCATCCTGGATCCATATCCCTGCCTCTCAAACCAACTAGACTTGAGGGAAGGAGGTGGGTGAGAAGAGAAGAGGGACTTTGCATATTCTTGTGTCTTTGGCAGAAAGCTTTTCTAGCCTGGTTCAAGCTTCCCATGAAGAGATCCACATCTCAACCTGCTCAGAATCCACGGGATGTCAGGGTGGCCACCTGCCTGAGTGAGCAGCCAGCCAATCAGCCTCTTGCTTCAGCTGGGCTGCCACTTGCCCACTTCCCAGCCAATAACCAAGCATCCTGGCAGGGAGGTGGGGTCCTCTCATTTCCATCTAAATGTGATATTCAAGATCAGGTAGGCAGTGGTTGGCCCTTCCCCATGACAAAATCCCCATCTGGGGCTGTATTTTCATAGCTTAACAGCTCAGCCTCCACTAACAGGCTGTGAAAATATCACAGAGGACAACTGAAGGGAAACAGGGAAAGGAGTTGTGTGACAACAGAGAAGCATGGGCCACCTTCGAGCTTGCCTGCTGCACACCTGCTGACGAGTTGCACCGACACCTGTGCATGCACACATGGTGCATACATATACCCAGCACTGAGGCACTGTTCCCAGAGCAAATGGGAAACCACTGTGTGAAGAATCCAAAAGAGCAGTAAGTATGATGGCATTTTTCTCTGCCAATAGAAACATGGAAGAAAAGCAATTTGAATTATTTTAAGGTGCGCAGAAGGATACCTCTCAGGCTCAGAAAATCTTAGATGCTCCTATCAGCCTTCCTTAATATATCTACTGTTTCAATACTTTTGATGCTTCTATAGGAGAAGAATAAAGATCTGTGGTATAATTATATCAAAATCTTGTTTTAGATTTAGCAATAGCATTAATGTCTTAGAATATAGGTCTTTGCAGGATGCACTTCTCATAAAAATCTAAAGCTGACTGTGGAGAACTAGGCTTAGTAAACAACAAAGGTGCTACTTCCTGAGAAATAACTTCTTTGAATATCATGTGAAAACCCCAACGTCATTGGAGTACATCTGTTTGATGATTTTATTTTTCTAAATTTTGTCATCTTAAAATCAGAGGCATGATAATATATTATCTTTTAAGTTTGTAAGTAGTTTTCAAGCCTTTTCATATTCTACCTTATTTAATATTCATGAGAGCTTACAAAGCAAGAAAAGCAGTTATTATCATCATTGGTTTACACAACAATAGATTTGGGCTCAGATAGTTTAGTGACTTTCCCACAGTCATCTGGATAGTAAACTGTGCAGCTGGGACTAAGACATAAGTCTTAGTCTTCTGATTTCTCCACAAGTATGTTTTTGTACTTCTTTTTTCTTTGGCTTCACGTGGAGTTATCTCTCCTTTATTTTTCTTTACACTTGGACTCTAGATAGGAAGAGAAAACACTGATGTCTTTATCAGCCAATCATTCTTAGAGATGCACTTAAACTCTTTAGGTAGAAAACCTATATCTTTAGAGATGAACAAAATTGAGTAAAGAATGTTTACACTTTTAAAAATTTTGTACAGGCTGTAGTTGTCTTTACTAACTGATCTTTAGACAGCGGGCAGAAAATTAATTGCTAGTACAGTGAGAGGCAACTGTACAATGTGGATCCAGTTGTCATTTTGCTTGAACTAATATTGACTAATTTTTTCTGCCAAGACAGAAGCAAATGTAGTAAATATTGGATTTAAACACGAGTGTTTGAACCTGAGTGATCTGACTCATCAAACATGCCTAGTCTGTCTGGCAGAAAGAAGATAACACTTCTTTCAAGTCATCTTGGCTAAACAATTTAACAAGAATCAATGCTTAGCAGGGTCTAGTCCCATTTTTTGTCAATTCCATCTGGAGATCTTTCATAGCAGGAGATAACAGTTATGGGAAAGTAGAAGGGTTTTAGTATTTGTCTTGAAATAGCAACACCAATAATAATACCTCACTAAGCTAAGAAAGAGATTTGTAAGAACAATGTTAAAGACAATTATCCACTAGGAACTAGGTTTCCTTGCTATTCATAGGAAGTTGAGGAAGAGCTTAAAAAAGTCAATTTTACAAAGCAGATACCCTGTTTTTTTTTTTTTGGTCCTCTTACAATTTCCAGTCATAATTATGGCTGTTTCCTATCTGACTTTGTCCAGTCAGAATGCATGATTTCTTCAGATGGCTAAAATTTGGTTACGGTTACCTATCCCGTATTTAAACAGTAGTATATTTAATGTTTAGACACTTATTCGTATCACAGTCTAAAATGTACAGATTCTCTGTTTATCAAATGTTTTCATTTAAATGTAACCCATAGTCATAAAATTAGGGTATAAAAAGATGGTAAAAATTATAGCATAAAAGCTACCCTAGGATATAAAGTAATATTAAAGAAAATCAAGCAGACAAATAATGTGGCAATGAATGATTAATCCGTTTATATATATATATGTGTATATATATATATATATATACACATACATGTATATACACATATACATATACATAGATATATATTTTTTTGTCTGACAAGTCTCTTAAAATACTTCCTTAAGTACTCTCCACAGTCTCCTGGGCCACACATTTTAAGAAAGTTCTGTTATTCAACATAGTAAATGAAGTAAAAGCCCGATGAGTCAGACATATATTCCAGTTTGTGATCTTATAGTCAGAGATAGAATAAGATTCCTGTTTCTATAGTTTATAAAGAAAGTAACTGCCAAAAAAACAACAATTTACTTAAGAGAATATGTTAACTATTTTATCAGTAGCCATTTGCAAATGTGTGAGCAAAGAATTTCTACTTCATCAAACAGTTCTCTGACATATCTTGTATGTATAGCGAAACAGTAAAATATTGAAAAAATTTTTTACTGAGACTAGACTTCGCCTTAATTAGTCAATATTAAGGCAGAGGAGAAAAAGCATGAGTAAAACAATAAGAAGATATGGATGGCTTACCATAAGTCACCTTACTTCATTCACTTAACTGAAAAGATTTCCTGCTAATAACCTCCTATTACCTCAATTTTCATTATACAGATACAAACAGGGCCTTACAACTAGGTGGTATATAAAAAGCAATAAAGAAGAGGAGAAAAGTGGATCTTACATCTATTTCTGCCATGACATCCATATTGAGTAAAGTTTCAGCTTCCTTTGTTATCAAACTTGGAAGTTTAGAACTGACTGGCTGAAAAGAAGAAAAAAAGAGAAAGAATTATAAATAAACTCCTCTAAATACCATAACTTAAATTCTAAGCCTTAGGTTTGTAACTTGTTCTTGTGTACATAGGAGGCTTAGAATTTAACTTATGGTATTTAGGAGAAAAGGCTTTGTACACAATACTGAGGGATAATACAGCAAGAGGAGAAATTTTGGATACATGAAGAACTATTACTAAATCATCATAATTTTACACAATGTCTAATTTCATATTGGCAATTTTTAAGTTATTAGAGTAAAGGAAAATACCACATGACAAATAAATTGTGATATTACTATGGGAAAGAGGGATATAATAACTTCTATTTTAGTTCAGAAAGCCAAGACAGAAACACCATATACACTAAATCAGTAGAAAAGCCAAGATAAGAATTTAAGTATTCTTGAATCCCAGTATGAATAATATTCTCAGTGTTGGTGGTCATATATCATTCTTCTTTTGAAATGATACACACAAATGCAGTGAAGTCTCAAAAATGAATTGATAGGCTTACCTCACTGACATGATAAGAGTCATAATTCACTGTCTTCCTAGATAGCAGTGACTTTAGCTCTGCCAAATTAGCTTAATACAGTGCCTGTGTATTTCATCCTGTAAATGAAAAGCAGAGGAGTGGGGAATCAATAAACACTGCTGCCAACAGAATAAATGTGAATGGAATAAATGATAATCTAACAGCCAGGAGACAATCTTTGAGAAAATACCACAAACATAATAAATTTCATAGATTATGGCAGATTATTGACCAAGAAAAAACAAACCATATAGTACCTTCCAGGTATAGATATTTCACTTCCAGACTATAAAGCTTACTGCTATTTGGAAGATTTTAGTACCCTAATTCACTGGCTATAATTTAGCCAAAGTAGACCTCAGCTGAGTAAAATACCACAGTTTTCAAACTGAAGAGGCCCAGAAAAGAAGAATATAGAAAAAAAAAATTAGCCTGTTACCTTGTAATTCTGAATAGGAAGTACTCTTCAACCCAAGAAAACTTTCAGCCCACAGAATGTCTTTTTGCCTGAATACTGCTAGGTAAAGATGATAAATCACTTTACTATCCCTAATTAGAACTGAAATGTGAGGTACTCCAACAATGTAACTGGCTAATCCAAATGACCTCTAGGGTCCTCTTATCTATGAGATACTGGACACATGCAACCTACACTTTGAAATGACTGTATTTCTCCTAGTGAACAGTACTCAGTCTGAATCTCATCAGTAGATGAAAGCCACAAGGCTTGAGGAATGGGACTTATGACTGTTGTCATGGTGTAAAAATCTTGCATATTTTTACTTCACCCAGTGATGTAGGTCTTGACTTCATTTTATAGAGCCATTACTTTAAAAAGCAGGTGCTGTGAGGACCATTTGTGGTATTATTGTCAACTATTATTCAACCTGATTTCAAGAGCTCAAAATGCCAGTAAATTTTTTTTTTAATTATACTTTAGTTCTGAGGTACATGTGCACAACGTGCAGGTTTGTTACATAGGTATACAAATGCCATGGTGATTTGCTGCATCAATCAACACATGATCTACCTTAGGTATTTTTCCTAATGCTATCCCTCCCCTAGCCCCCAATCCCCCTGACAGGCCCCAGTGAGTGATGTTCCCCTCCCTGTGTCCATGTATTCCCATTGTTCAACTCCTACTTATAAGTGAGAACATGTGGTGTTTTGTTTTCTGTTCTTTGGTTAGTTTGCTGAGAATGATGGTTTCCAGCTTTATCCATGTCCCTGCAAATGACATGAACTCATCCTTTTTTATGGCTGCATAGTATTCCATGATGTATATGTGCCACATTTTCTTTACCCAGTCTATCATTAATGGGCATTTAGGTTGGTTCCAAGTCTTTGCTATTGTGCACAGTACTGCAATAGACATATGTGTGCATGTGTCTTTTTGGTAGAATGATTTATAATCCTTTGGGTATATACCCAGTAATGAGATTTCTGAGTTAAATTGTGTTTCTTGTTCTAGATCCTTGAGGAATCGCCACTTTGTCTTCCACAGTGGTTGAACTAATTTACACTCCCACCACAATGTAAAAGCATTCCTATTTCTCCACATCCTCTCCAGCATGTGTTGTTTCCTGACATATAATGATTGCCATTCTAACTGGCATGAGATGGTATCTCATTGTGGTTTTGATTTGCATTTCTATAATGATCAGTGATGATGAGTTTTTTTCATATGTGTGTTGGCTATATAAATGTCATCTTTTGAAAAGTGTCTGTTCATATCCTTCACCCATTTTTTGATGTTTTTTTTCTTATAAATTTGTAGAGTCTAGATATTAGCCCTTTGTCAGATGGATAGATTGACAAAATTTTCTCCCATTCTGTAGGTTGCTGTTCATTCTGACAATGTTTCTTTTGCTGTTCAGAAGCTCTTTAGTTTAATTAGATCACATTTGTTTATTTTGGCTTTTGTTGCAACAGCTTTTTGTGTTTTAGTCATGAAGTCTTTGCCCATCCCTATGTCCTCAATGGTATTGCCTAGGTTTTCTTCTAGGGTTTTTATGATTTTAGGTCTTACGTTTAAGTCTTTAATCCATCTAGAGTTAATTTTTGTATAAGGCATAAGGAAGGGATCTAGTTTCATCTATGTATATGCTTCTGGGTAGACAGTTTTCACAGCACCATTTATCAAATAGGGAATCCTTTCTCTATTTCTTGTTTCTGTCAGGATTGTCAAAGATCAAATGGCTGTAGATGTGTAGTGTTAGTTCTGAGGCCTCTCTTCTGTTCTACTGGTCTATGTATCTGTTTTGGTACCAGTACTGTGATGTTTTTGTTACTGTAACCTTGTAGTATGATTTGAAGTCAGGTAGTGTGATGCCTTCAGCTTTGTTCTTTTTGCTTAAAATTGTCTTGGTTATGCAGGCTGTTTTTTGGTTCCATATGAAATTTAAAGTAGTTTTTTGCAATTCTATGAAGAAAGTCAATGGTAGCTTGATGAAGATAGCATTGAATCTATAAATTACTTTGGGCAGTATGGCCATTTTCACAATATTCATTCTTTGTATCAATGAGCATGGAATGTTTTTCCATTTGTTTGTGTCCTCTCATATTTCCTTAAGCAGTAGTTTGTAGTTCTCCTTAAAGAGGTCATTCACATCCCTTGTAAATTGTATTCCTAGGTATTTAATTCTTTTTGTAGCAGTTGTGAATGGGATTTCACTCATGATTTGGCTGTTTGTTATTGGTGTATAGGAATAATTGTGATTTTTGCACATTGAGTTTGTATCCTGAGACTTTGCTGAAGTTGCTTATCAGCTTAAGGAGATTTTGGGCTGAAACCATGGGGTTCTCTAAATATACAATCATGTCATCTGCAAACAGACAATTTGAATTTCTCTTTTCTTAATTGAATACCATTTATTTGTTTCTCTTGCCTGATTGCCCTGGCCAGAACTTCTAATACTATATTAAATAGGAGTGGTAACAGAGGGCATCCTTGTCTTGTGCTGGTTTTCAAAGGGAATACTTCCAGTTTTTGCCCATTCACTGTGATATTGGCTGTGAATTTGTCATAAATAGATATTATTTTGAGATATGTTCCATCAATACCTAGTTTATTGAGGGTTTAGCGTGAAGAGGTGTTTTTGCTGAAGGCCTTCTCTGCATCTATTGAGATAATCATGTGGTTTTTGTCTTTGGTTCTGTTTATGTGTTGGATTACATTTATGGGCTTGCATACGTTGAACCAGCCTTGCATCCCTGTAGTCAAGCCTACTTGATTGTGATGGATAAGCTTTTGGATGTGCTGTTGAATTTGGTTTGCCAGTATTTTATTGAAGATTTTTGCATCGATGTTCATCATGGATATTGGCCTGAAGTTTCCTTTTTTTAGTTGAGTCTCTGCCTGGTTTTGGTATCAGGATGATGTTGATCTCATAGAATGAGTTAGGGAGGATTCCCTCTTTTTGTATTGTTTGGTATAGTTTCAGAAGGAATGGAACCAGCTCCTCTTTGTAGAATTCAGCTGTGAACCTGTCTCGGCCTGGACTTTTTTGGTTGGTAACCTGTTGATTGCTGCCTCAACTTCACTACAAACAGCTCTATGCACATAAACCAGTAAACCTGGAAGAAATGGAACATTCTTTTCTTTAATAATGTTGAATTTTGGCCCCCACTCTCCTCTGGCTTGTAGGGTTTTTGCTGAGAGATCCATTATTAGTCTGATGAGCTTCCCTTTGTGAGTAACCCAACTTTTTTCTCTGACTGCCCTTAAAGCTTTTTTCCTTCATTTCAACCTTGGTGAATCTGATGATTATGTGTCTTGGGGTTGCTCTTCTCAAGAAGTATCTTTGTGATGTTATCTGTATTTCCTGAATTTGAATGTTGGCCTGACTTGCTAGCTTGGAAAGTTCTCCTGGATAATATACTGAAGAGTGTTTTCCAGCTTGCTTCCATTCTCCCCGTCACTTTCAGGTACACCAGTCAGACATAGATTTGGTCTTTTCACATAGTCACCTGTTTCTTGAAGGCTTTGTTCATTTCTTTTTACTCTTTTTTCTCTAATCTTGTCTTCTTGCTTTATTTCATTGGGTTGATCTTCAGTCTCTGATATCCTTCCTTCTGCTTGATTGACTTGGATATTGATACTTATGTATGCTTCATGAAGTTCTTGTGCTGTGTTTTCAGCTCCATCAGGTCATTTACGTTCTTCTCTAAATTGATTATTCTAGTTAGCAATTTGTTTAGCCTTTTTTCAAGGTTCTTAGCTTCCTTGCATTGGGTTAGAACATGCTCCCTTAGTTCAGAGGAGTTCCTTATTACCCACCTTCTGATGCCTGCTTCTGTCACTTCATCAAATTCATTCTCCATCCAGTCTTGTTCCCTTGCTGGTGAGGCGTTGTGATCCTTTGGAGGGGAGTAGGCATATTGGTTTTTGGAATTTTCAGCCTTTTTTCGCTGGTTCCTCTTCATGTTCGTGGATGTATCTACCTTTGTTCCTTGAATTGTGGTGACCTTCGGATGGGGTCTCTGAGTGGACATCTTTTTTGTTGATGTTGGTACTATTCCTTTCTGTTTGTTAGTTTTCCTTCTAACAGTTAGGCCCCTCTGCTGCAGGTCTGCTGGAGTTTGCTGGAGGTCCTCTCCAGACACTGTTTGTTGGGGTATCACTGGCAGAGGCTGCAGAACAGCAAAGATTGCTGCCTGTTTCTTCCTCTGGAAGCTTCATCCCAGAGTGGAACCTGCCAGATACCACCCAGAGCTCTCCTGTATGAGGTGTTTGTTGACTCCTACTGAGACGTTTCTCCCAAACAGGATACACAGGGGTCAGGGACCCACTTGAGGAGGCAGTCTGTTCCTTATCAGAGCTCAAACACTGTGCTGGTGATCTGCTGCTCTGTTCAAAGCTGTGAAGCAGGGATGTTTAAGTCTGCTGAAGCTGTGCCCACAACAACTCCTTCCCCCAGGTGCTCTTTCCTAGGGATATGGGGTTTTATCTATAAGTCCTTGACTGTGCCTGCTGCCTTTTTTTTTTAAGAGATGCCCTTCCCAGAGAGCAGAGGCAGTTTGGCTGCAGCAGCCTTGCTGAGTTGTGGTGGGCTCTGCCCACTTTGAACTTCCCTGAAGTTTTGTTTACACTGTGAGGGCAAAACTACCTACTCAAGCCTCAGCAATGGTGGATACCCCTCCCCCCACCAAGCTCAAGTATCCCAGGTCAAGCTCAGACTGCTGTGCTAGCAGCAAGATTTTCAAGCCAGTGAATCTTAGCTTGCTGGACTCCATGGAGGAGGAGGCAGCCAAGTCAGACCTCTTGGCTCCCTGGCTGTAACCCCCTTTCCAGGGGGGTGAAAGGTTCTCTCTTGGTGGTATTCTGGATGCCACTGGGGTATGGAAAGAAAACTACTGTGGCTACCTCAGTGTCTGCCCAAGGGGCTGTCCCATTTTGTGCTTGAAGCCCAGGGCTCTGGTGGTGTAGGCACCGAAGAGAATCTCCTGGTCTGCAGGTTGTAAAGACCATGGGAAAAGTGCAGTATCTGGGCTGGAATGCACAGTACAGTCCCTAAGAGCTTCCCTTGGCTAGGAGAGGGCATTCCCCAATCCCTTGCACTTCTCAGGTGAGGAGATGCCCCACCTTACTTTGACTCAACCTCCATGGGCTGCACCCACTGTCCAATCAGTCCCAGTGATATGAACCAGGTACATCAGTTGGAAATGCAGAAATCACCTGCCTTCTGCGTCCATCTCACTGGGAGCTGCAGATCAGAGTTGTTTCTATTCAGCCATCTTGACAGCCATCTCCCATAAATTCGAATAGGTCAGGACCCTTTGCTCTTCCCCATAGCTTTCTGAATCTAGTAGAACTTGAACTCAGCTTTGATGGCAAACAGATAATCATCTCAAACTACAGAGTTGCCTTCTGAGATGACCCAGTGCCCTGAAGAATAATGATTATTTTGCTGCTTAAAGTAGTTCATTTTGGCACAGGTTCAACGGGCTGGTCCACACCTAAGTTTGACATCAGGCTAAGGAAGCTCACAGGGCCCCTTTCTGGGTCTTTCTTTCTTTCTTTCTTTCTTTCTTTCTTTCTTTCTTTCTTTCTTCTTTCTTTCTTTCTTTCTCTCTCTCTCTCTCTCTCTCTTTCTTTCTTTCTTTCTTTGTTTTTTCTT